ATAAACACTTCTGTCACAGCCCAAATAGGAAAGGTGATTTTGAGAACTTTCAAACGGAATTCGGAACCGAACTACATGCTATATTGAAATATGCCCCAACTCGCTGGCTTTCGAGGCAGGTCAATAATTTAATTTGTGTATTTGCTTTTTCGCCAATTTGTGATGCTTATCATGTATTCTGTTTTTAGGAGGTCATTGAACGAATTTTGGAGCAATGGACACCTTTAAGGTACAATTTTGAGCTACACTCCTTTGAGTCTCCGTGATCCAGTTTTTAAGATGTATTTTTACTCTTTAAAATATATTTTAAAGATTATTAACGATATTAACAGAGAAATGCAAGCAGAGGAAGCGAGAATACGTATTCTTCTTCCGCGGCTTAATTTCCTGTTCAACCAAGTGTGTAGAAATTTCCTCCACAAAAATAATATGGATTCTAGTTCTATTTTTTGTATTGACTTGAGTAATCACATTCCAATTCCTGAAATATTTTGTGGAGCTCAAGTTGAAATGTTTTGTTTAAATGAAAATGTTAAATAATCAGATCTTCTACAATTTTAAACGAATGTTTTAAAATTTTATGTAACGTTCTGTGATAATTTAAGAAAGAGGATTGATTTTAAGAATGAAATTCCTAAAACAATACCTGTATAAGTCCAAAGCATGTTACTTCTGGTGACACAAACAGTGTATACCGCCCATATTAAAATTATTTCCGAACACTGAAGTGCGAAATGCTGAGCAAATTTATGCAGAATACCGAGCAATCGCGGATTACTCGGATATAAAAAAATGCAAAATATGCCCATCACTTCATTTTGGCATGAAATAGGCCAGATAAAAAATAACCTTAATGAGCTACTTTTTCCCAATATTTTTCGAATAGTACAAGGCCTTTTGTCTTTATCTCAGTCATCAGCATGTGTTGAACGCATATTTTCCATTAATAATCTGATCAAAACGAAATGTAGAAATAGACTCGCCTTAAAAACATGCGCCTCTCTTATCCAAACAAAGGACTTAATAAAGAATTACAAGGATCTATGGAAATGCAATTTACCTAGTGACGAACCTTCAGAAAATGAACTAATCGAATAATTCGAGGATTAAATGTAAACCCTTTTTATGTAAATTTCATGCATTGAAATTAAAAATTTCAATCGTGGATTTGCATTTTACCGTTAGTGATCTCATTTTATGTCATTTATTTTCATTCATATAAACTGATTTATCTACTGTAATAATTTTTTATCGTCGGCCGCTGTGGTGTAGTGGTAAGCAGTGCGCGCTTCCACTCCGCAACGCCTGGGTTCAAATCCTGGTCAAAGCAACATCGCAAAAAATATAGAAAAAAGGTTTTTTCTTAACAGCGGTCGTCCGTCGACAGGAAATGGCAAACCTCCGAGTGTATTTCTGCCATGAAAAACAGCTTCTCATAAAAATACAATCGCCGTTCGGAGTCGGCGTAAAACTGTA